TGAATCTTTAAATATTAAGTTTTTATTCTATTTCCAGGCCTTATATTTTTTGTTTGAAATTTTATATGTATGTGTATATACATACATACATTTTTTTTTTTTTTTGGTACTGGGAACTGAACCCAGAATCCTTTACTGCTGACCTACATCCCAAGTCCTTTTATTTTTGTTTTGGGACGGGATCTTGCAGTGTTTTGAGGCTTGCCTTGAACTTTCAATTCTCCTGCCTCAGCCTCCCAAGATGCTAGGATTATAGGTGTGCACCACCATTTCTGGCTGTACATATATGTTTATATCAACTCATTTTAATTTTTGGAACAGTTGTAGATTTATAGAAATATTGATCAGATGGTTCAAAGAGTTTATCTCCTCCCTGCCAATCCCACCCTAAAGTTTCTCCTATTTTTGACATCTTTACATTAGTATGGTACATGGGTTACAATTAACAAACCAATATATATATTATTATAACTAAAGAGTTGGTACTTTATTTATTTATTTTTTGAAAATACCTTAATTTTATTTATTTATTAATAGGTGGTGCTGAGGAACGAACCCAGGGCCTCACACATGCTAGGCGAGAATTCTAGCGCTGAGCCACAATCCCAACCCTGGTACTTTATTATTATATATTTTATTAACTAAAAACTTAAGCTTGAATGTTTTTACCATAAAGAAATAAATGTTTAGAGGAAATAGATAAGTTTACCCAAAATAAATAAATAAATCCTAATAAATAAATAAATCTATAGTTATTTTCTCAGTTTTTAATTTCATGTTATTTTTTTTGTTTCAAGATTCTATCCAAGTTACTATAGTATATTTGGTTGTCATATTGCCTTAGGCTCTATTTGCCTATAGCATTTTATCAGACTTTCCTTATTTTTGATGACCCCTAATTTAAAAAAAATTCAATACCTAAGACATGCAGTACAGTTGGCCTTCTGTTTCTCAGTTCTACATCTGCAGATACAACCCTACCTTGGGTTGAAAAATATTTATTTTAAAAATGGAATTTATACTGAACACTTTTTTTTTTTTTGTGGTGCCAACAGTTGAACCCAGGGCATCATATATGCTAAGTTCATACTCTGCTATTGAGCTTCCTCCTTAGCTATGTAATCAGTTTTTTTCCCTTGTCATTATTCCCCAAACAATATAGAATAACAATTATTTACATAATATTTACATAGTATCAGGTAATATATAATCTAGAGATGGTTAAAGGATACAAAAGGATGTGTATAAGTTATATGCAAATACTATATCATTTTACGTAAGGGGCTTGAGCCTCTGTGGATTTGAGGATTCATTGGGGAAGGTGTCCTGGAACCAAGGGATGATAAATGTATAATTTTTGATAGAGACAGAGTGGAGAGCCTTGTATTTTTCCTAACTTCATAAGTCCTTTTTTGTGGTACTGGGAGTGAACCCACTGAACTACATCCCCAGCTCATTAATTTTCTTTTTTTTTTTTTAAATTTTGAGACAGTCTCACTGATTTGCTGAAGCTGGTCTCCAACCTACAATATTCTTGCCTCAGCCTTCTGAATAGCTGGGATTGCAGGTGTGAACATGACAGGCTTATTAATTGTCAATGTTTGTCATTGATTTGGATAGATATCCTTCATCAGAGTAAGGAAATTTTATTTTCTAAGCTTTTTTGTCATGAAACAGAATGAAATTATATCAAATCTTTTCCTGTCTCTATTATATCATATACTTTTTCTCTTTTAATCTAGTTAATGTGCTACATTATATGAATAGATTTATCAGATATTGATCTTGCATTTAAAATCTGCCTGGCTAGGAGATATATATATATCCTATATAGATCCTATATACACATTTATATGCCAACATGCATTTATATGCACATATATATGTTTCTATTCACATATAAATATTACATGCTTATGTAATGTGATGGATTTGGCTTGGTAATCTATTAATTAAAATTTTTGTATTTTTATTCATAAGTGAGATTTTTCTTTTTTTAAAAAAAATACTATTATTGTTTCTCTTTTGCAGTAGATCTTAGGGTTTTTTTTTTTCCTTAGTTATCTAAGTGTTAATTTTGTTGTGATTGGACTTCAACT